ATAGACTCTAGAGACCATTTCTTAAAGAGAAGGGGTACTACCCAATCAGCTGGATCTTCACAGAGTAGTCAGACACAGTGGGTGTCCAAGAGGCCAGAGGTAAAGGGGCTACCAAGGTTCCCAGGTCAGTAGAGGAAGAAATAGAGATTATAGGGGCCTTTCTCCAGCTTCAGGAAAGCTGTGCACTATCTAGATACCCTTCAGGTGCTAAAGAAGTGGACAGGCTGATGGCATTGTTTCCTGGGTCCAGATTACCACTGTGGGTAAACAGCACACAATACTAAGTGAACGGAGGGAGAGGGAGCTTCGCTTCGGTACCATCCTCGGGTCACTGGAGATGGGTGGGTGCTGGAACAGGGTAGAGAATGTGTACACGGTGACTCATCACACAAATGCTGGACTGCCTGCGGGGAGCCAGCTGGGTCTCTCTCTCTCTCTCTGCCTGACATCCCTGCCTTTCACAGTCAGTGGCCTCCGGTCACTCATCACGTCTAACACTGAAAGGGCATCCCCAGACTTGTTTCACCTTCTCTGCACTTGCCACCTAAGCTAGCTACATGCTCGATTGGAATCCACCCTGTTGTTGTGGTCACCCATTATACATGATCACAGCTGCCACAAGCCCGTATGTGTGGGCTTGAAACGGCCGCACAAGGCTCTTCTATTTATACCTAAAGGCCTGGTTGATACCCATAGGTGTCCACTGTTGTGAACTCATCCATCGCTGCCACCTTCTGTTAACTGGGTTAGGCCTAACAACAGCTGCAGTTTTCTGGACGGCTTTTATTCCCAGGGTACTCCTCTTGAGGTTTCCTCTCACAGTTCATAAGAGACAATGAGGAGTACTAGCAGGGACTGGTTCAGGAGAAGGGTATCCTGAGCTTCTAACAGTGAGACCTTGGATCTCACTTCCTAAAAGTGTCCCACCCCAACAGTCTTTGTAGATGGCCTTTGTAAGGACCCTCTGTCAGCAGTTTCAGATATGAACATATGGTCCTTATATAGGCCCAGATAAGGTGACACATAATTGATACTTGTAGACATTTCCCAGGGCCTATGTAAGACTAATTCTTTTTTAAAAATAGTTTAAAGACCAGAAATTAATTTGAAGACCCTTCCTTCCCAGCTATTCCACACATTTATTTCTAGATCTGCATCTTCTTGTGGTAACTGTGTGGTGAATAGCATAGAGACTCTGATGCCTGTCTGAATACTGTTAATTTCTTCTAAAAAGCCTAAAATGAAGAAAAATGCCTTCCTTCTTCCCTTAAATATGACCTATTTTAGTTGGGAGGTGGTGGTGCACACCTTTAATCCCAGAACTCTGATGACAGAGGCAGAAGGATCTCTGAATTCAAGGCCAGCCTGATCTACAGAGTGAGTTCCAGGATAGCCAAAGCTACACAGAGAAACCCTGTCTTGAAAAACAAAATAAAACAAAACAAAACAAAAAGACCTATTTTGGCTTTTTCTTCCACTCAGCTGCACGATAGTCACGCCTCATGGCAAATTTTGTATCTTGTCATTTTTCCAGTCCCAGCTGCCCAACACTGAGCCTCCCTAGTGAGGTTCTTTCTTAGGATTCTGCTACACCCCCCCCCTCCAGGGTGGCACTGATAAAGCCACACAGCATTCAGTGTGTGTGGGCAAGCAGCCAGAGGTGGGAACCCTGAGCCTAAGGCAAAAGGACTCAGAAGAGACACCAGAAAGGTAGGCTAGGGAAGGGGCTGAGGACAGGGTGGTTGCCAGAGGAATGAAACTTTGAAACTTTGTGCAGTTTGAAGCATATCAACTATTGGGTTTCCCACAGTCAGCACTGAAACAGCCTTCCTATTACCAAGTCCTGAGCAGAGCAAAATCATTCAGACACAGAGTACCTCAAGAGCAGGGTTTCTGGTTGTGAAACTCACATTGGATCAAAAAAAATTATTATTATTATTATTTTTTTTTTTTTTACCAATGTTGTAATTGCCAAGGCAATGCTTGGCCATTGTAAAAACAACCACAACAGAGATAAATAAGGGAAGGAGTGGTACCCTAAGCTAATGCTGAAATGCAAGAAAAGAACTGTCTGTCACATTTAACCCTGAGGCTTTTGTACCTGTCATTCTTTGGTGTACATCTCTAGTTCCATCTGGATCACTGGGTTGCCTGCCTGAAAAAAAAAAAAAAAACTTTATTATGTCACATTGTATAGGTCTGCTACTGAGTCCTCTCAGTCTTTAGATATCTGGAAATTTTCTAGTTAAAAAGTGCAATACATTTTAAATTTGGGAGTTTAATATTTATAGACAATTTCAGCTGAAAATAGTTTCATGGTTCTCCGCCTTCTGCACAGATCCTCTTGTTCTTAATAGCTTATATTAGTATACATTGTTAAAATTGATATCAATGTATATTACTATGAACTAAAGTCAGTATCTTGCCTTAGGGCTCATTCTTGAGGCTGAACATCATGTGTTTTTGTGGTGCTAGGCCCCTGCTCAAGTTAAGCAAGCATTCGCTGTACCATTGAGCTACATCCATAACCTCCTGGGTTTTGACAAATGTTAATTACATGTTTCTACTCTTATACTATCATACAGAACCATCAACTGTCCTAACAGTCTTTCTTGCTCTGCCATGTCTCTTGCAATCACTGAGCTTTTTAGTATTTCTACAAATTTTTACTTTTGGGATTTCACGGTGTGTCACAGCTTTTCCACATGGGTTTCTTTCAGTTAGCAGTGAGCACTTGGAAGCTGGAGAGACAGCTCAGCTGGTAAGCTTGAGGACCTCAAGTTTAACTCCCCAGCATTCACATAGAGAAGAGGGTTCCTGGGGCTTGCTGGGTTAAACTCTAGGTTTAGTGATAGATGTCTGTCTCAGAAAATAAGGTAGAGAGACAAAGGAAGACATTAGACATTGATCTCTGACCTCCGCATGTACATACACACATGTTCATATGTGTACCTATTTACATACACGTGCACACACAAGCACATATGCATGCAAACACCACACACACACACACACACACACACACACACACACACACACATACAAATACATACAACAAAGTTTTAAAAATAGGAATTAAGTGTGTAAAGTTGCTACATCTTTTTCACGCTTCAGAAGCTCACTTAAAAAAAATCAGATTAAAACTGTGTTATGTGGATATACCAGTTATTTATCACTCACCTATTTAGTATTTTGGTTGCTTTCAATGTTTGATGATTACAAATGAAGCTGATATACTACATGCTGATTTTCGTGTATAGCCGTAAATATCTAGGAACTCAAATGCTGACTTTTTTGAACAGTCTTCTGTGGGTTTGAATAGTCATATGTAGCCCTAGCTAGCTGTGAACTTATCACATAGCCAAAGTATGGCCTTGCATTCCGGATCTTTCTTCCTCTACTACCGAGCGCTGCAATTACAGTTGTTTGCCCTCAAGTCTTGTAAGCCTTTGTCTCGTTCAGTAAGAAACTGCCAAACTATTTTCCAAAGTGGCTTTACTAATGTTCATTCCCACCAGCGATGAAGGAGATGTACTGTTTCTCTATGTTTTCACCAGCATTTGGTGAATTATAAATTTTATCAATTTTGGCTATGCTAATAGGTGTGTCTTGATAGCTCATTGTTTTATAACTCTGCAATTAGCTAATGACAAATGATGTTGAACATCTGTTCCATATGCTCATTCGTCATCGGTATATTTTCTTTGCTGAAGCATCTGTTCATATTCTTTACCCATTTCCATTTGTGCTGTTTGTTTTCTTATTGTTGAGCTTTAAGGATTTTTTTTTAAATATGTGTTTTGAGAATATTGTTTTTCAGTCTGTTTCTTACCTCTTTATTCTTCTAACAGTATATTTTACATAGAAACGCTAGTTTTTAAAATATTTAGTTTACTTTTAAGTGTGTATGTGTGCACGCACCTGAGCACAGGTGCTTGTAGAAGCCAGATGCACCAGATCCCTGTGGAGGTGGTGTTGTAGGAGGACTTCGGTTCTGGGAATCAAATTTGGGTTACATCTGTCTCTATTATTTTTACATGTGGATGTGTAATTATTCCAGCATCTTCTGTTGAAAAGACCAGCCTTCCACCATTGAATTGTGTTTATTTTTTTCCAAAGGTTAGTTATTTGATACCATTAATTTATCTCCCCCATATGACACTTGATTGCTGTAACTTTAATAGTAAGTCATGAAATCAGATGGTGTCAGATCTCTACTTTTGTTCTTTTCCATCATTACTGTGTTATCTATTTTGGGTCTTTCGCCTTTCTACACAAACTTTTAAAAATAGTATAATCATCTATTCTTCATTCATAACACAATCAGGCTGAGTGACTCCCTTACAGACGTTGACTCAGGAACCCAGGCTCCTTCCATCTTGACGCTACTTTCTTCAACATGTACCCTCCAAGCCGAGTAGAGGAGATGTGCAATCACAATGATACGGAACAGGTTTCTGCTTCGCAGTCAAAACTGGAAGAACAAAACTCACAACAGTCTTGACAGGTAGCCCTGTGATCTGTTTTGTAGGTTTCTCTGAAATGGTCAGGAGAACTGCTGAAGGACTGCAAGGTTCAAGTGTGCAGATAGCCATGCCCTGGCCCCGGTGGTCTGGCAGGTAGCCTGCAGTCATTTGTGTTGTAACTCCTGCAGACGTGGGCAACCAACCTATCACCCTTTTTCTTCATTTCCGCCTTTCCTGCTGTGGGGGCTGTGTCCTTTAGTGTCCATAAGCAGAGGGACCACGTGTGCCCACTCCGAACCCTGCAGACAAAATACCTTTCTCTCGCTGACAAGAGAGCATCTTCTCATATCACTAGGCCAGGGACATGTTCTGAGACCAAAAAGTGGCCACCGACGCAGGGACCCACTAAGGCACTCAGATCAGTGTGTGGAAAGGTACAGACCGCGGTCAGCGCCATTGCCCCTTTAAGAAATTCCCCAACCGCACATGCTCAGAGCCGCTGTAGCGCGCGCAGGCGCAAAAGAAGCAGCGGATGTTTACAGCGGCCGAGGTCGGTGCGAAGCGACACAAGAGCCCGAAGAACTGCTGTCGGAGTCTAAGCCAGGGCTGCTGAGCGCCGAGGTAGAGCTGTCTCTGCCCCTTGGCCCTTTCCTCCGTATCCCTTTTCCAGCTCTGATTATCCGTTCCCAGCATCCGTGTCTCTTAGCATCTCCGAGAGTTTCGAGCACCAGCGCCTGCCCCCCCCCCCCAGTCTCCTTGTCCAGCACCCTCCACACTACACTAGCACCTCTCCTCCAGTGGGCCCCCTCCCCGCCCCTCGCCCCGCGCCTGTTGCGTACTCTGGGGTCTGTTTGCTCTAGATCTACAGCCTATTTCTGATTTAAGTAGGACATATTTGCAATTAGCTTAAGGGCACGTCGGACCTTGACAAGGCTTGAAACAAATTCCACCTTGGGCGGTTATTTGTAAGAAGGCAGATTATCCTGCAGAAGAGAAAAGAGTGATCCAGCTGGGGAAAGGACTAAAGTGGCTGGAGAGAACTTGGAGAGGCCTGGGCCCTTTGTTTGGTTTTTATTAGGCCTGTGGCTCTGCCATCAACCCAGTCATCTGAGTATCTGCCTCTCTGCTCTCTTGGGCCTGCACGGTTGTTCTGTGTTCTTGTCATCGAAGACATGGCTAAAGTGGGCTCCATTCCGCTGTTTGGCAGGGTTTCTTTCTAGGACGAGGTGTTTAAGACACTCAGCACTGATTACATGTACAGGGAATTGAAGTGGGCCCTCTGAGGTGATTTTGGTCTCTTTCTTGGTCCTGCTTTTTCTCCATCCTGAGACCTGGCTGGGGATAGTTGTGGGAAGAAACGAGTTTTTCTTGTCTTTTTTTTTTTTTTTTTTTTCTTTTCAATTCTGGTAGTCCCGAAGCTTTTCTATGCATAAAACAGTAGGAGTTGGCAGAATGATGGTTTGGGGTCCATTTTCCCAGCAAGGCATCCCCTTAAGAAGTGGCATCCAGATTTGGCTGCGGGCCTGCCTGTGTGGTTTTTTTCCAGATTCAGTATAGATAGGAAACAGGGCCCCGCTAGTCCAGCTTCACTCGTGTTGTTGCTGTCTGCTCTGAGTCCTGTGCACCACCACTGCTCAGTGTTTCCCCGTGCCCTCCTGGTCTGTTGGCCTGTGCTAATCACTGCTGAGTAGGAACTGTCAGAAGCGTTACAGCCGGTAGTGAAGTGTGGAGCGCAGTGTGGGAAGGACAGCCTCCTAAAAATGATTCTTTGCCTTTCTACTACGTTGCGTTATTGTGCAGTGATACTATTTGTTTGGGGGAGGATGTTTTCAAGTGCGCTGTAGGGCTTTTTTTTTTTTTTTTTTAATATGGCCACTGATCATGTGTATCTCAGCAGCAAGCAGTGATGCTTCCATGCAAGGCAACATTAGATTGTCAGAGAAAGCTAATATTAAGGATCAGACTCTATTACTGTTCACCCCACCAATAGCAATAGATAGGGCCACCTTGGCGTTCTGTGTAGTCTAGAGAATGATCTGCAGTCTGGGGCATGATCTGTGATAGCCATCTGTGTTAAATGAGTGAGTTTATTAAGTACACATAGCCAGCAAAAGTAAAAGAAGTAGGTAGTAGGTGAGTAGTGGCAGCAGTAGTAAATAGAAATACCAGATTGAGTATTCATATCTAGTAGGAATTTAGCCCCATTGAGAGAACAAACAAAACATAATAGCAGGAATCATCTGGGAAAGTCCCATTTGAGTTAGCCATTTGGAGTTCCTGATAGAGAGCCCTAGGTGAAGCTTCTAAGTTTAATATATAAAATTAATATATATATTAAGTTTAATATATATAATTCATAATCAAGTTGGGCACTTACAGTCAGGTAGTACAAATAGACTGGAGAAGTTGAGGCAGACAGCTGGAGTTCCCAGTTGAACTTTCTCTCCATACATGAGATTTCCATGGCCGAATTTCTGGCTTCCTGTTCCTACCAAGGCATTTTTATATCATGCAATAAACAACACTTTTGTAAATGACTAACCTTTTAGCTATTCTCAATGACATAATGTTTTACTCTTGGGCTATTTTGATCTCCCTTTCTCCCATCATAGAATTAGGTACCTACCCAGTCCCAGGAAAAGGTACCTTGGAAAACATTTGGAGGCCACTGCAAACAAACATACTGGAGTTGGTACAAGAGAGTCCTTGCTCTCATCATCCACTTTCAACAAACTGACAAAGCACATGACAGTTTACCAATAAAATGCACATTACACTTGATTATCAAAGTATTAACAAGAAATTTGTTCTTCTGTGAGTCTTTAACACCTGTGTCCATGCTGTGCACAAAACAAAGCCTTTGGCTAGACAGTGCTGGGTTTCACCATAGTTCCTCTTGCTGTCTGTGACTGTGAAAAGTTTAGTAAACTAAGACCAGCTTTTTGCCTTTGTCTTCTGAGGTTTAATGTAGTGCTGACTGGTGGGTGGCAACTGTGAAAGGTTATTTTCGGTTTTATTGAAATTCTGCTCTTTTAACATGGAGTAAGCTTTCACATGAGAAAAAAAGTTCAGTTAACATAAATATCTAGTACAAAGTGAAATATATCTAACATATGGTACCTGCTGAAGATTGTTAACTAGTGGAGCCAAGACAGTGACAGAATATATTCAGGGTGAAGAGGATGGCTTTCTTGTTTCAGTAGGATATGTGGTTTTTAAAGGGCTTTTCCTAAGTTGGCCTGTAAGCATTATTCAACTGGTGTCCCAAATTTTAATATGACTGTGTTAGAGCAGTAGAACTAAGTGGCTTATCCAAGATTAAGCCCAACCTTATTAGCACTACGGACTAGTTACAGCTGGGACAAGGGCTCTGAATTCACTTTGAAAGTAGGTTAAATTAACAATTGAACCATAATTTGAAAAATTATTTTTTTGGTCTACAGAGCAAGTTCCAAGACAGCCAGGGCTACAAGGAGAAACCCTGTCTCAAATACCCTTCCCCCTAAAAAAAAAAAATCTTTTTTTTTTTTTTTATTTTGAGTATGGATTATTTCATCATAAAGTGGAAAAGAAATTGCATCAAGACATAGTTTTTTGTTTTTTTTTTAACCTGTTGTAAGATGCCAGAGTAGTAGTTGATTTTCATTCCTAGGCGTAGGTCACCTTTTGGTACTGGTTGTGTACGTGGGTGTGTATAGGGCCTGTCTTCAGTATTCCAGGGAGAAGAGTGTAAGGAAAGAGGGGCCGTAACAGCTTTGTTATTGTTGTTTGAGACAGGTTTTTATATAGTTCATGCTGTCCTGGACCTCACTGAAGATGCCCTTACCCTCCTGAACAGGAGCGCTTTTGATTCAGAAAATCGACCATCGTTCTGTGGTTCGATAGTCTCTTCTTCAGCAGTTTATATCAGCATCACCATCTTGTAGGAATAAAGCTATTAGTTTGGAAGAGTCACCTGAGGTCAGTGAAAAACTGGGGAAGATACTTTTCATTTGCTACGAAGAAAAAGACCTCCAGGGTAAAGAATATTCCCTGTTCGCTGGATCAGGCCATATTGTATTTTAGTCTTTGGTGCTTTCTTCACTGAGACAGAGAAAATAAGTGTACTTCTTAGAGAGCAAGGAGAGACTGTGTAGGGAAGTAGGCCACAAAGTCCTGTGAAGTGACCCCTTCTACGGCTAAACTTTGGCCTTGAAACGGATTTTGTTTGTTACAATAAGGTGTTTGTCACAATATGTCCTATTTGGGGAGAAAGTATTGTGGATATTTTTACCTAAAAATTAAACATCAGAGTAACAAAATCAGTAGGTTGGATGGATTGCTTGTTGTGAGTGAGTTTATGTGTGTGTTGAGATGTAGTGTTCCAGTTAGCGTTGGGATACCGTTTAAATTTGAACCTCCGGATGGCTCAGCAGGTAAAACTATCTGCAACTCAGCCTAAAGATCTTAGTTTGATCCCTAGGATCCTTTGGGCCCACTCCTACAAACTGTGACACTTAGGGGTCACAGTTTGGCATATATACTTCCCAAGTAAAATAATGTATTTTTTAAATTGAATTTCAATTAAACATCAAATGGCTTATTACTTGCTGTTAGCTTAAAATTCTAGTGAAGCTTAGGTTGTTGTTTTTTTGTTTTTCCTAATTAAATTATGGTGTGTGTGGGCTCACATATGCCATTGTGTGCATGAGGAGATCGGAGGACAAGCCTATGGCATTGGTTACTCTCAACTTTATGTAGGTTCTGGGGAGTGAGCTCAGATCATGGGCTTTGTGTGGCAAGTGCTTCACCCACTGAACTATCCCTCTGGCCCTGTAGTCCCTGCCACCAGTACCAGCATCTGTGGAGGGTGAAGTAGTTATTGACCAAAGATACTCCCATCTTTATTACATTCAGAACTCAGAATTTGGAAATAGCATTTATTTAGAGCTTTTATTGTTTTACTCTTGCCCTTAATGTAAATAGTTATTAAAATTTTAATTGTAGTCTTGCTTGATTGTAATCTTGAACATGGGCGGTGCTGTGAGTGCTGGTGAGGACAACGATGAGCTCATTGATAATTTGAAGGAAGCCCAGTACATCCGGACGGACTTAGTAGAGCAGGCTTTCCGAGCTATTGACCGAGCAGATTATTATCTTGAAGAATTTAAAGAAAATGCATACAAAGATTTGGCGTGGAAACATGGAAACATTCATCTCTCAGCCCCGTGCATCTACTCGGAGGTGATGGAAGCTCTGGATCTGCAGCCTGGGCTCTCTTTTCTCAATTTGGGCAGTGGGACTGGCTACCTCAGCTCCATGGTGGGCCTCATTCTAGGTGAGTGTGGGTACAGAGCTTGTGTTCCTTCTGCCTTAGTATAGTGTGCTATAGATAGCAGATTTTATAGTGCATGCCCTGCTGGAGATCATGGCCCTCCTATCAGTTGTCTGAGACAAGGGGGTGGGCGACTGGGTAATACCCACCTCTAGGCTCTGAGTTGAGTCGGTGGGTGGGGAGGGCTTTCCTTTGTCCCCTCCCATCTGTACTGCTACATTCTTCTGTGAATGATGGAAAACCGAAACGGTGTGTAAGTCTTGACCTTACGTGATTTCCTGATTTAATTGAATCACGCTTTTGCTCTTCTTTTCCACTGAGTGTCACTAAAATCCTTCGGTAGTTGAATTTCTTTGTAACAGTTCCTTTTTTGTTGTTTTTGTTTGCCACTAAAAAAGGTAAGAAATTTATGCATTTTTAAGGACCTCTTAGAGATGGAAGTGATTTATTAGGTTTTCACATTTAGAGCTGTTGAGGCTATTTTCTCTCTAAGTTGTAAGAATGAGTATATGAATATGGCCATTTCTGATATTACCAGGGTTATCAGCTGAAGAGCTGTTGAATTCCTGCTTTGTGTAAAATGTTATAGTGAGCCAAAGACTTCAGATGTTACTTGCTCTTCTTCTTAATTGAAATGTTTTTTAATCTTAATTTGGTTAGCTAAGGCAATGGTTTTGACTAGGGAAATAGATAATAAAACTGCCTATATTAAAAATGCTATTGAGGAGCTGGAGAGATGGCTCAGTGGTTAAGAGCACTGTCTGCTCTTTCAGAAGTCCTGAGTTCAATTCTCAGCAACCACGTGGTAGCTCACAACCATCAGATTTATACTGGGATCTGATGCCCCCTTCTGGCATGCAGGTGTACATGCAGATAGAGCACTCATCTACATAAAATAAATAAATATATTTTAAAATGCCACTGAGGGGCTGGAGTGATGGCTCACTGGTTAAGAGCCCTGGCTGCTCTTCCAGAGAATCCAGGTTCAATTTCCAGCACCCACAACTGTTTGTAACTCCAGTTCCAGGGGATCCAACACCCGCAGACATACATGCAGGCAAAATACCAATGCATGCAAAGTTAAATAAATATTTTTTTAAGTGCTATTGAAAAGAGACTAAGGGGCCCTGGAGAAATGGCTCAGAGGTTAAGAGCCCTGGCTGCTCTTCCAGAGGTCCTGAGTTCATTACCCAGCAACCACACTGTGGCTCCCAACCATCTATAATGAGATCTGGTGCCCTCTTCTGGCGAGTAGGTGTATATGCAGACAGAACATTGTATACATAATAAATAAATCTTGAAAGAGCCTAAGGATACAGCTGAGCGGTGGTGGCCCACGCCTTTAATCCTAGCACTCTGGGAGCAGGGGCAGGCGGATCTCTGTAAGTTCGAGGCCAGCCTGGTGTACAGTTCTAGAACAGCCGAACAGCCAAGGCTATACAGGGAAACTCTGTCTTGAAAAATCAAAAGAAAGAGCCTAAGGAGCTGAGGTGATAGCTCAGATGTGCAGATACTATACAGGCATGAAAAACTGAGTCCAAATCCCCAGAATACATGTAAAAAGGCCAGGTGCAGCAATGTGTGTCTATTATCTCAGAGCTGGCAGAAGATAGGCTTCTAGGAGCTTGCTTGGCTGACCAGTTTAGCTGAGTTGGTGACCTCAAGATCCACTGGGACCCTGTTTCAAAAAGTAATGGGGAATGGAAGATACTGACTTTGACTTCTGCCGTGAACACTCATGCATCTAGGCATAAGTGTGCCGCATGCGCACACACACACACACACACACACACACGCCTTAATGCCTAGGAAAAGAGAAAGCTTGGATACACTGTGGCACTTGATACTGCCAGCAGTGATAATCCATAAATCCTAATATAAGTTTCATTTCTAAATATAGGTTTCTTACATTTGTCAGTAAAAGCCACTACTCTTGGCTTTTTTTTTTTTTTTTCAACTTGCAAAGGATTCTTTTAATGTTTGAGAGCTTTTTCAGAAGCCCAGCCATCAAAATAAATACTGTGTTAATGAATGGAAACTATGCTATACACTGAAAGACTCCCTTGGGTAGTTTAGAGACACGAATGTGCTGAGCCCTCAAAACCTTGTGAGTTTCTGTCATTATACACTAAGAATTATCTGTGTGGTAGGAAAGAAAGTACAGAAAACAACTGAGCAAGGGTTCTCTCCCACATTCAGGTCCTTTTGGCGTGAACCACGGAGTGGAGCTCCATTCAGACGTGACTGAGTACGCAAAGCAGAAACTGGATGTCTTCATCAGAACAAGTGACAGTTTTGACAAGTACGCGCAGATGCTACCCATCAGTTCAAACAAAGTGTTTAACATGGTTGTTAGTTATAGCTATAGATAGTGTTATAGATAGAAAAAGCTAGTGTCTTAGTATGCGTATGCCAGCGAGGTTAAAGTGTGGTTGGATGATCCCAGGTTATATGTGTGTCTACCCTAGTGACTGTTTTAACATTCTCTGGTATTAATGGCTTTATAGGTTTTTTTTTTTTCCTATTATTTTTTGGTTTGTTGTGGCAAGGTCTCTTCATGTAGCCTTGGCTGTCCTGGAATTCACTATGTAGACCTGGCTGGCCTCAAATTTATAGAGCTCCATTTGCCTCTCTCTTCTGAGTGCTGGGATTAAAGGCATGTACTACCACACCTGGCTGGCTTGTGTTTTGTAAGTTATGATACTTGACATCAATTGTTCACTAGTATAGTAGGAGAAGAGGAAAAACAAAAAAACTTGTGTTGAGTTTTCATGTTCCAGTATAGAAAATGATGATCACCTAATTGTTTAAAATAATGGTTATGGGTTTTTTGAACAGTTTATGTAAGTAGCTCTTCATGTTTAAAATATGCCACTAAAGCTCTTAAAGAATGGACATTTAAGAGAATAAAAAGTTGTTGGTGTTTTGTTTTGTTTTGTTTTGTTTTGTTTTGTTTTGTTTTGTTTTGTTTTTTTGCCAGCAGTGGTGGGCAGAAGCAGGCATATCTTTGTGAATTTGAGCAGTTGGGTCTTCATAGCAGGTTCCCAGGCTAGCCAGTAGAGAGATCCTATCTAAAAAAAAAGGTGCTTTTTAAAAACCTCCTGTTGGGCCTGGCAAGATGATTCAGGAGGTAAAGGCACCTGTCGCCCAGGGTGATGACCTGAGCTTGATCTCTGGGACCCACTGGTGAAAAGAGAACTGACTCCTACAGTCGTCATCTGGAGCCTTCGCACACGCTGCGGCACACCCATTTGCATACACACACACACACACACACACACAATGAATACAGAAATCAAAATCTAAGAAAATCTCCAGTTGCTGATGATTGTGAAAACCGTAAAAAAAAAAAAAAAATAGCAGCTGGTGTTGCTTTATATTTGGATCCTATTGGAAGTTTCACTTTCATTCTGTTTTGTTTGTAATTTGTAAGGTTCTGTTTATATAGTATAACTATTTGAAAGTTGTAGCTTTTAGCTCCTGGGTCTGCAAAGTGTTACATTGTTCTGTGGTTCTGTAGCTAAAACATAACCTATGATAAGCATAAATTTGTCTTCCGCACTTGTTGCGGTGGCCCACGGAGTTACAGAAAGCTTTTTCCCCTGCAGATTTGACTTCTGCGAACCTTCCTTTGTGACTGGCAATTGCCTGGAGATTGCCCCAGACTGCTGTCAGTACGATCGTGTGTACTGTGGGGCTGGTGTGCAGAAAGAACACGAAGAGTACATGAAGAACCTTCTCAAAGTTGGGGGGATCCTCGTCATGCCCTTAGAAGAGAAGGTCAGGTTCCCTACACCGCTGACCTGTGTGCACTCTCTCCGAGTCAGTTTATGGGTGCTGCTCTTGCTTTTGCCGTCCTACTAGCCAAGGGCAGGTGTGGCTGTGCCGGAGTCCTCCGTACCCTCTGCACTATGCGTGACCCTTCTGTTACCCCCTTTCCCTCTGGCACTTGTTTTTCTGTTTTCTTCTTTCCTCCTCCCTACTTTTTCTCCCTCATCCCCCACCCTTTTTTTTTTTTTTTTTTTTTTTCCTCCCCCCTTTTTTTTCCCCCCCCCCCCCCCCCTTTTTTTTTTTTTTTTTTTTTTTGGTCTTATTGGTGTACTCACTCAATACTTTGATAAAAAGCATTTTACAAATTCCTCCCTTTTCAAAAATTTTCTTGTATAGACTGGCTTGTAACTTACAGTGCTTAAGAGAGTTCATGAATGTAATTTTTTGTTACATTTTATAGTAATTACAGTTTATTCATTTTGTATCCCAGCTGTAGCCACCTCCATGACTGTAATTTTAAGTCATTTAATTTTGAGTCAATCATTTTGGTGTTTACAAGTTGCATTTAGTTGATATATGTCTTAGGCGTGTGTGTCTATGTATGGGTGTTCATGTGTGGGTGGGGTGGGTGCTCGTGTCTTCCAGTGTGCACGTGCAGGCCAGAGAACTGACATCCGGTGTCTCTTTTGATTGTTTTCCGCCATATGTGTTGAGGTGTGGTCTCTCACTTGAACCCAGAGTTTACCGGGTCAGCTAGTGCAGCTAGCTTGCTCTGGGGCTCCCCTGTCCCGTCTGAGTGTTGTGGCTCTCTGTGGACCAGACCACCTGCCTGTTGTTTGAGTTCTGGGGAGTGGAACTCTGGTCCTCGTGTTTGCATGGCAAGCACGTTACCAACTGGACCATCTTCCTCGTCCTTCTGGTTTTTTAATCTATTGGTTTTCTTTTTCATATTTTCTTTGTTCAGGGGACTAGGTTTTTGGTCTCATAGTGTTTTCTACACTCTGGATTTTGCAGTCCATAGCTCTCAGTGGTGGATTGCATGTTCTTCTGTGCTTTGTATTTTTTACCTATATTTGTAATTAGATCTCGAGGCTTGGTAGAGTTTACCTTTGTCATATTTTGATGGAGAAGAACAAAAGAATATAAGCCACGTATTAAAATAGACCTTTATCTTCAGTATACAAAGGACTGATTATAAGACCACTTTCTTTCCACTCATGATAATAAAATATGCCTCAGATCCTTCTATAATATCACGTTGCATGTTAGTGGTGTATTACCTACAAGTACTTTATAATACCTCTAGATTACTTGTAATACCTGATAGTCTGTCAGTGCTATGTAAGTAGGTTTTTTACTGTGTTGCTTAGGGAGTAATGACGAGCAGAAAACCTGTACATGTTTAGTGCTGCACAGTTAACTTTCTGCACATTTTTGCTGTACAGTTGCTTAGATCTAGCGTACGAGCTCCACTTAAGTATACAGACACAAGCAGCATTTCTGTGTACTCATCTCTGTAGAATGACTGTGGCCAAATCCAGTGTTTTATTAAGAACTAAAGAATAATACACTTCAATTCTGTATTTTTTTTAAACTTAGGTCCTGGTTAACTTTAATAAAGAGAAAGCCAGTTACTAGTGATTTGATTCCCCTAAAGTATACGTTATACTTCAGGGATAAACTTTGGTTATCAGTGTTTGCTTATTAGTTTTCTAAGTAATGTCTTTTTTGTCAAAGGGAGGTAATTAATAAGGCTTTGTTTGTTTCTTTATTTCCATTACAATATTTTGACAGATCACTTTAGCTCTAGGTCAATTTGAAGAGCATAGGCTTTCTCATACTATTTCCATTTACTCCTCCAGTTTATGAAGTACAGGTTTATAGTCTTATGTCAGGTCTCACTCTCATTTATGCATTATATTTGAATATTTGATGTTCATTGTAGCTAGAAGCTCTGCCTTAAAGTCTCTGACTGATAGAGATGCTTAGCAGTTGCAAGCGTAGTGTTCTTACAGAGGACTTGAGTTCAGGCAGCTCACAAAGGTCTGTAACTCCAGATTTAGGGGATCTGATGGCCTCCGCTGGCCTCTGAGAGCCCTGTCACTCACCTGTGCACGCACGTTTACACCCACGCTCACGTACAGACAAATTAAAAAATAAATCACAAAAAGTTTCTAAAAAGTGTTTTTTCTGTTATCTCTGATTATGATTAATATTTAGTAATTGTTCTGCTTAATCCTTTTAGAGAATCTTAGTTTTGGATGATTTTCTAGGTTAGGTGTTTTTGGAAAAGATAATCACATAATCGTATCAGTTCTGTGACCTATTAAGGCCATTTGTAGACTGTCCTAGTCACATTGAACACACAGAGGCTGTGTTGTTTAATTGGCTTCTTTGGTATTAATCCTATAACGTAAAGTGCTTTGATGACCCACACGCTGTGTATCAGCCAGCACATCTCACTGGACCCCTGAAGTGCTGTCAGTGAGAGTAAGGATGATTGCCGAGGCCTCTAAAATGACACATTTATGTGGAGTAGTCACAGCCACAAGGTGGTAGTATCTGGCATTTGGGCCTCTCCTGCTCCCTAGATGGTGCAGGGGCAGGTGGCTTGACCCTCAGATGTTTTGTGTCTCAGATGCCATTGCAGCTGCACTTCTGATAGCGAACACAGAATTCAGGGTAAATGGCTGAGGTGCTGTAGCTCGTCTTTGGTTGTACATCTTTGGTTAGCTTTACTGTGGGCAGGTCCTCTCCAGCTTAACTCCAGCCACTGTTTTGAAGAACCCTAGAAAGTTATTTAGTATGACTCTCATTTTCCTCATCTCGTTTTTTTTTTTTTTTTTTTTTTTTAGTCCTTTAACTGACTTACCATTTGTATTTCTTGTAAAGGGAAGGTAGCTCAAGGAGCTCGAGTATGTTCAGGTTAAGCATTTGCATAAGAATATTCATGTTAGTTGTAAGTCATATCACATTAGGTGGTACATAGACGGGCTATTTCATATTTAGATTTGATGTATAGAAGTGATTATACTTAAATATAAGTTACGCAGCAGCCAACATTGTTTTGTCTTTGAGATAGCTGACCAAGATAACACGCACAGGCCCTTCTGCTTGGGAAACAAAAAAGATTCTGGCTGTTTCCTTCGCCCCTCTGGTCCAGCCCTGCCGTTCGGAGTCAGGACAGTCCAGACTTGTCCAGCTACGTGAGTATAAACATCCTGCCTGTCCTTTTATCTCTGATTAAAATTAGAATAGAAAAAAATGTACAAGAAACCTTTTGATGTTAAAGAGTGTTAACCTCCCCCACCGCATCTTCAAGTTATACAAGATATTTTAGGCCATCTTAGATGATTTTAATCTTCTTTTAAATCTATAAGGTGTTGTTCCTGGTCATGCTTTGAAAGTAAAGGATTCACAGAAAAAGGAACTAATTTGGGGAATCCTGGGCAGTTTGCCTTGCCTGCTGGGAATGTGGAGTGGGACCTGAACACAGTCCTCTCTTCCTCACATAGCCTAGCTCTTGCTTCTTTAAGCAAATGCTGGTGGGCAGTTTGTTCTGCTGCATGGCTGGGAAATTTTGTGTAGCCTCACATGGTTTAATCTTTGTGTTTACCTCTCCAAGATACAGACTCTGCATGGAGCTAATGTAGGGGTGACATTCATCCTGGTGTTGTATATTTTAAACAGCTCTCACAGAAATAGAATTTCAAAGTGATGAAGATTTAGGATTTCTAAATGAAGACTACTCATCACACTTTCTGAGCACTTTTGGAAACATTTGGAAAATGTATGTTTTTATGTGTGTGTGAGAGAAAGATAGAGAATGCATCTGAATGTGAGTTAGTATACCTAGTTTTGACACATACATCATACATTTTGGTGAAATTTTTCCAAAAACATGCTTCAATTTGTGGATACTCATTTAACAAATTGTCCTACTTTGCATGTTGTGTGATATAGACAAGGCCTTGAAGTTTGGTAAGTAGCAACAGTGAAACACACAAAAGAGCTTAGAATGACTAGGGAAGATATGTAGAGGGTAATGTTCTGTTGTGCTTGGTTATGCTCAGGGTGAGAAGGAACTCCCTAGAGAGAAGAGAGGAGGAGTAGAATCAGGGCAAAGTTAGGGACACAGACTCCATGGTGTCGTCATTGTGGTCTATGTTGGAGAAACTGACTGGTATGTAGGGTGTTTTTGTTTTGTTTTGTTTTGTTTTGTTTTTCAAGACAGGGTTTTGTAGCCTTGGACTCAATTTGTAGACCAGGCTGGTCTCGAACTCACAGAGATCTGACTGCCTCTGCCTCCCTAAGGGCTGGGATTACAGGCGTGTGCCACCACGCCCGATTTGTAGGTTGGGTTTTCATTCGTTGAGGTCTTGAGATGTTATTGAAGATGCTGCACGTCTGTGTTGGTATAATCCTGTCAGTCATTTGGAGGGTCAATTTGTCAGACTGGTGTTCTGAAATTTTGTTCTTTAAACAAATATGGCTCCTGATAAGGAACACACCATCCTCTGGCACAATGTCTGGGTTTGGAAGACAAGGATTCATGAAAGCATTTGGAAGACTTTGAAGATCTGATTAAACATGAATGTTTCTGTATGAAGGCTTGTCAAGCCTGGGTAGGAACCCTGGCCATGTGTTGCCTCCTGAAATGCTCACTGTTAATGTTGAGTGATAAATATTTGTGTGCTTTGGTTAGAATTACTAAAGTGATCAGTTGAGTATGGTATTTGCAGCTTCTATCTTCCCAGATCTTCCTAGATCACTGAAGTTGATGAGACCAAGCGAAGAAGAGAAACCATTTAGCAAAGCCAGCACACAGTGATACCACGCAGCTTGGACATGCACTGCCTGGAGCAGCCTCCTGAGTGGCATGCATGCAGGTTGGAGTCAGAAGTCAGGCAGGAAATTGATGGGGTTTTCCCCTTCAGGCAAGAAACAAAGATTGAGACAACACCAGACAGGAAGGGTTCCGGGACACATGACCTTTCTAAGGAAGAACAGGAGAGCCCAAGGTATTGCTGCGGAGTCTGGGGTTGGCTTTGACTTACTGGGACTAAATTTCAGCTTGGGGAACTAGTCTATATTATTGACATTTACACAATAGATGTTAAACAAGGATCAGCGGTCATACTGAGAGAGGAGTGGAGTGGATACTGAGCATTTGGGAGTGTCACAAAGCCTAAGGAAGGAATTCAGAGAAGGGCTGTGAGCCTGGCCATAGTGAACTGAATCAGTTATTCCTGGTACCGCTCAGAGAAAGCTGGACAGGTCACAGCTGATACTTGGGAGCCCAATGGTCAGTGATGGACTGTTTTAGCATCTTGGGGAAACAGCTGGATTGCAGAGGTTCTGGAACTAAACTTTCTTAAATTGAGTTGGTGAAAGCAGGATATACTACAGGTCATTTGTTGTTGAAATACATGGCCTTAACTCCTCAGTAGAATGGCAGGATCGTCCTGGAGAGAGAGTACAGCCCCATGTTCTCAAGGACAGAAGACAAAAGACAATGGTTGGGACCTCAAAAAGAGGGAGGAGGTGCTGTTTGTGGTTACCTTGTCTACAGAATTGCATTCCTTTAGGACAAAGGATATTGGTGGGTTCTAGGCAAGGATTATGATTTTGATAACATGTTGTAGATAACATGAGAACCTCTCTATAGGGTGGCCTCTTGTTTATAGAAGGTTATGTGCACTGGAGGAAAAAAGTGATTTATATTTTCTGTTTAATGTATTTAAACTCATGTAAAACTATTAAAGTAGATAAAAGGATGTTAGAAATGTAGATTACTGGGGCTGGAAAAATGGCGCAGCGTTTAAGAGCCATTTCTTAACCATGCGCTTCCAGAGGACTTGGGTTCAATTCCCAGCACCCACATGGCAGCTCACAAGTGTCAGTAACTTCTGTTCCAGGGGATGTTGTGACTCCCTCACACATGCAGGCAAAACACCAATGTATACAAATAAATTTATATAAAAAATGTAGATTACTGTATTTTGAGTAGAGGCTCAAAATATCATTATATCATTGAGAAGAATAAGTAGAGTTACAAACTATGTAGCAAGAACAAACCCTAAGTTCAAGTTTTACCTCTGACTGATTGGCTAGACAGTATTTCTTTCCTTTTCAGGGTTAGAAACTAGTGTATTTGCAAATGCCTTTTGAGAAACACATGTGGTGCATGGTGCCGAGTAGCCCACTGGTTCCTATTTGGTTAGAATGCTTCCCTCTTTTGAAGCCCTTCCAGCAAGTTAGGTGTGGTTCTGCCCTGCCCACACCCACAGCCTCTGCCCCTGCCCACAGCCCCACCAGCCGTCCGAAGCCTGCAGGACCTGGCCCGGCTTGCTATCCGTGGCAGCATCAAGAGGGCTATGCGCCAGGACGCCACCAGAGGAGGTGGAGTGAAGAGCACGCCTATGTTCAAAAGAAGGAGAGTCCGTCGCAGGCGGATGGAGACCATTGTCTTCTTGGACAAAGAGGTTTTTGCCAGTCGAATTTCCAACCCCTCTGATGACACCAGCTGTGAGGATGCCGAAGAGGATCGAAGGGAAGTGGCAGAGAGGACCTTCCGGGAGGCCAAGCCTGAGCCCCCGGTAAACTTCCTTCGTCAGAGGGTGTTGCGCCTCCCTTTGCCTGACCCCCTGAAGGACTACCTGCTGTATTACAGGGAAAAGTGAGCCGTGGGAGAGTGGGATCGGGGTCCCAGAGGAAACTGCTGGCCAGCTACACGTGTCTTTTCCCTTTCTTGGTCCCTCTCTATCCTCTAAAACTTTTCATGCAATGGTGTGATTTATTTAAAGCACAATCCAACAAGAAACTGCATAGAATTATTTTCCTTGGGGGTGGGATGGGGTGGGGCAGGGCGTGCATCTTGTTGGTTCTACTGTAACTTGAGCTTGTTGGGGACCGCGTGATCTGCTCCTTCTGCAGGCGGACTTAAACACTGAACTCGATGGCATTGTGTCCTGTGTGAAGCAAGGGGCGAGTCTGTAAGGGTCTAACATCTTGTGTGAACCCACCACCACCCAGCTGGAATTTTACGTGCTGATTCTATTGCTGGCACTGAGTTCTTCTGACTTTCCTCATTTTCTAGGTCGGAAAATGTTGAAAATCCTTATTTTAATCAAACTAATCAGATCCCATGTGAAGTGTCAACTGTAATTATTAAAAGAAAATGAAATGCAGGAGGGAAGAATAAAGATGCCAGATGTCTTTCTGGAATTTCCAAAGACTTCCAAGCAGTTGGTCCCCCACCCCCGTTAACAAATGTGTGCGTGACAAGCTTTCCTTGAACCGTAGGAATGATTCCTGGGTCATTGAACTGCAAAGACCAGAACAGTTTTCTAAGGTGTTTCCCTGCGACCTCTCAGGGCAGGTGGAGAGACCGCAGGTGTTAACAGACAGCCCATGCCTCCCGACTTCAGTTTGCGGTCTTCCTTTGATCATAGATAGGAGAGTACCAGTTCCTAGATTTTTATCTTTTATAGTTCTGGAGAAAAACTTGTTAGTTTTGTAAATTTTCTTAAGAACAGATATATGTATTTTACTAGCTCCATTGCATTAGAGCAATTTAACTCAGTGACTTGTGAAATCCATTATCTCCAGGCCATTGGCGTTGAGAACTATCAAGTTTAAAAAAGTAAAAAAATTAAAAAAGCAATCTTTTTGGCTGTCAGAGGGCAGGACTTGAAGTTTCATTGCTGATCCAAAAAGCTGGCTCATAAAAAAAAAAAAAATTTTAGCCCAAAGAAAAGAATAGTGTAAATTGTTAATAATAAACCCAAGTTAGAGTGTTAATTTAGGATTAAGTACTGAGATTTTATGATTTGCTTTTAGCTTAGCCTTATGTGGCTTTCAGGGAGAAGTTTGATAGTTCTGTGATATCTCTAAACTTAAATGGGTATTTTGGTTCCTTTCTTTCTTTTTTTTTTTTTTTAAGTTAGTTGAATCATTTTTACCACACAGTATAGTCTGCATGTATAGTTGGGAAAACATATAATGCCCTACATTATAAATATAATGTACACTTAACATTACTTTAAATATAAGCTATTTAAAGAAAGTTTATAGTTGTTTTTCCTTGCCTTTTAACTCCAATTTTAGCTTCTTTTCTTTCAGAGAGAAATGCATGCTCTAACTTGACTTGCAGATGTTTGTAGTTTGCAGATATTTGTTGATGTTAACTCTAATTGTTAGCTAGACTTTTATGTTACCTGAAAATTTGGGGACATAAAATTAAATAAATGATATCTGTAAACTCTGTATATTAGGTGACTTGACTGAATTTTTTCCTGTGATTGAATATGGGCTACAGTTTGAAAAGCCACATTTGCCTTTATGCTGGATTTTAAAAAAAATAATAAAATGCGTATGACATTTTCCCTTTATATGTTAAACTTTTCTTAGCATTTTGTATTTGTATATTATCATTTTGTGATTTTAAACCATAATTCAGTTAAATATAGTTGTAACAAGTGAGAAATGATTGGCCTTTATATTATAAAACCAGGGGAAAATTGGAATTTTCTCATGAGTAAACACTTTGCTGCCAGAAATTCAGTATATATTGGTGTTATATACAATAATACACCACATTGTTTTCAGGCTAATAAATCTTAACTTATTCAAATGTTTGTCTTCAGAATTTATATTGTAAACAACATTGACAACTGCTGTGTTTTAAGGAGTGGGTGTTTTAAATGTGTTGTAATGTAAGAATCAAAGGTGTACATAAAAATAGACTTGCCAGTGTGGAACGTAAAGCTGAAAATCCAAGAAATTAGAAACATTACTTCTTTTTTTAATGAGGTGAAACATGGGTGAATACAACTCAATAAAAAGTGTGAAGACATTTTATTCTCAGCATTGCTTCTGTGTCAAGTATGGGATTTTTAAATTTAATTTTATTTATATATTATTTATTACAATTTATTCACTTTGTATGCCACTGTAGCCCCCTCCCTCATCTCCTCCCAGTCCCGCCCACCTTTCCTCTTCCCCCCCTGTGGCCTTTCCCTGGTCCCCTGATAGGAGAGGACCTCCTCCTCTTCTATCCCTAGTTTATCAGGGCTCATCTTCCTCTGTAGCCTGGCAAGGCTGCACCCCTCCCCCCAGGGGGAGGTGATCAAAGAGCTGGCCACTGAGTTCATGTCAGAGACAGCCCCTGTACCTAGGGAACCCACTTGGAAACTGAGCAGCCAGTGGGCTTCCTTTGAACAGTTCCTCTCCATGCATGGTCTTGGTTGGAGTATCAGTCTCTGCAGGACCCCCTGGGCCCAGGTATTTTGGCTCTGTTGTTCTCCTTGTGGAGTCCCTGTACTCTCCAGGTCTTTCTATCTCCATTTTCTTCCATAAGGATTCCGGCATTCTACCTAAAGTTTGGCTATGAGTCTCAATATCTCCTTCGATACCCTGGTGGGTAGAGTCTTTCAGAGGTCCTCTGTGGAAGGCTCCTGTCCTGTTCCTTGTCTTTTCCAACTTCAAATGGGAAAAGATCTTCACTAACCCTACATCTGACAGAGGGCTAATATCCAGAATATATAAAGAACCCAATAAGTTAAACACCAACTAACCAAGTAATCCAATTAAAAGATGGGTACAGAGCTAAACAATTTTCAACAGATGAATATCGAATGGCAGAGAAACACTTACAGAAATGTTCAACATCTTCAGTCATTCAGGAAGTGAAATCAGAACAACCCTAAGATTTCACCTCACACCCATCAGAATGTTTAAGATAAAAAACTCAAGGGATGATGCATGCTGGAGAGGATATGGAGAAAGGGGACCCCTCCTCCATTGCTGGTGGGAATGTAAGCTTATACAACCACTTTGGAAATCAATCTGGCTCTTCCTCAGAAAATTAGGAATAGTGCTACCTCAAGATCCAGCTATACCACTCCTAGGCATATACCCAAAAGATGCCCCACTATTTAATAAGGACATTTGCTCAACTATGTTCATAGCAGCTTTATTTGTTATAGCCACAATCTGGAAACAACCTAGATGCCCCTCAGTTGAGGAATGGATACAGAAGGTGTGGTACATTTACACAATGGAATACTACTCAGCAATTAAAAACAAGGAAATCATGAAATTTGTAGGTAAATGGTGGGAACTAGAAAAGATCAACTTGAGTGAGGTAACACAGAAACAGAAAGACACATATGATACATACTCACCTATAAGTGGATGTTAGCCATATAATATAGGATACACATACTAAAATCTGTAGTCCTAAAGAAGCTGAACACCAAGGAGGACCCTGAATGCTTAATCCTCATTCAGAAGTATGAGATTCTTGGTTCCATTCTTTTTTACATTTTATAATGGGGTTGGAGAGATGGCTCATGCAGAGGACTCAGGCTCCATTCTTAGCACCCACGTGGTAGCTCACAACCAACTCAACTTCCATGGAATCTGACTCCCTTTTCCGAATTCCTGTGAATACTGGGTACACATGTGGTGACATACATGCCTGCAGGCAAACCACACACGCACATGAAATAAGTCTTTAACATTTGACTAATATCCCTCTTTTTCCTTATTAAATTTTCTTCCACCAAATATTGTATTGTTTAATCTATAATACTTGTATAAGGTGGAAGTAATGTTATCCACTGTTCATAATTAACAGTGTGACTTGGAATAGACAGATTGAAAGTAACTTTGAAGAGCATCGTCATTTGCTCTTTTAACTCACTTGCTCATATTTTGAGAATGTTAAAGAGAAAGCAATACATTCAGTATGTGTTTAATTAGTATGGGTCTTATGTAGACTCATTCATATGTGAATGTTTAGCTATATATAAAAGCTGTATGCCAGTGTTAAATATGAATTCTGATTTTAGAGACCTAACTGAAAACTGAGTGTGAGGAATTGGTGAACCAAATGGATTGAAGGGTCTGAGCTATTGACATAAGTAGGAAGGTAGTGAATGATGTCATGGAGCCAGGAGCATCAAGAATCATTAGATCATCTGGGTAGGTGGCACACATCTACAGTCCCAGCACTTGTGTGGCAGAGGCATTTGGATTGTGAGCTCCTGGCCAGCCTGGCCTACATAGTGGGATACTGTTTCAAAAAAACAAGAAAAGCAATTATAGGAAGACAAAAAAATTATTTTACTCACTTACAGGTGTTGTGAGTGTCCCATGTTAGAAATACAGATGAATACGTTTGTGTCTGTTTTGTTTGTTTGTTTTTCCAGAAAGGGTGTCACTGTTTTAGCCTTGATTGTCCTGGAACTCACCCTCTTCAAGGCTGGCCTTGAACTTACAAGATCCATTGGCTTTTGCTTCGATTAAAGGCGCGAGCTACCATTGCCTGGCACATTTGTGTCTTTCAACGATGTTAGGACTTACTGAATAATAATAAATTTGAAAGGTTTGATGATTTCAGTGGGAGATTGAGACATATTCATTTAACATGGCTGGTCTTGCAGACAAAAAGAAAAGTCAAGGGTTTACAAAAAGCAGGTTCCTTTGATACTTTAAGGAGGCAACAATGTGATTAGAAAGAATCAGCAGGCTCCCTGAATGCCTGAAGGTACATCATTTCTGACTTTCAACTTTATTTTCTGGATAATCTTGTGGTGAAATTGTTGAGATTATATTCTGGCTAGTGGGATTAGAGTTTGCATACTTTTCAAATGCCAGTTTTCGTTTTGCATTGTATGATTGTTCCACACCCGCAAACATCCTAGTATTGGCATATCTGATAAGTGGGCTTATCAGATGCTATCCCGAAGGTAGACTCTTCTGTGCCAGAACATGTTATCTCAAACTGGCTGTCAAAATCTATCACCCATCAGATTGCCTTCCAAACAGTACATACTTCTAAGAGTCTCTGAACTAAGAGCCTCAGAGCTTATTTTTAATTAATTGACAAGAAACAATATTAAGAACCTTGAAATTTTCCAAACTGATGCAAAATCAAGTTGACACTCTGACCACTCCAGAATTAAAAAAAAAAAAAAACTTCAATGGTTAATTTCATATCTTTTTATATGGATGATTGTTACTGTTACTTGATTCAGAGGAAATCTTAACTTACCATTGTGATTCTCTCAAAGCATGGCTAATGTCTGTCCACACATCCCAAAAGAGATTTCTTCTCAGCCCCATTTTCACACTTCTGTCAAGAATCCTTGCATGAGATAATGACAGGTCACCCACCACCTGAACCGAGCTGTTTCTCAGCCCCTAGTAAAATGAACAACAGGAAGTCTTGTCTCTAGAGGGAGGGGTCCTGCTGGCACTAGAGCTTTGTTCTGGGACTGTGAGCTCACTGTCAAGTTGATGAACAACAGACCTAGTATTTGACTTCCAAACTGTTACTAGGCGCAAGCCAGGTATCCTCATGAATTCAGCAGAGCCTCGTTTTCCACACGGAGACTTGATCAGATCCCTAAATTCAATATATCACCAAGAATCCCTCAAAGAAACAGGCTCCATCTCTCCAGCTGGCCAGCTGAGACTCGAGCTGGGAGCTCCGTGCTTCAGCCTCCTCCCCTGTAAATACTTGGGTACAAGGAGGCACACAAAGTGGCTAGGAAAACTGTGCAGGTACTGAGCACTGGCCTCCAGGATCTACACCGTAGACCTCCCTTGATGCTGCCCAGGCCGCCACTGTGTATGAATCTCTACCGTCCAGCCATATATTAGGTCAGCTCTTCTGAACTAAGGTTAGAAGCTGGACGATGGAACTTCTGGTGCCTGACAGCTCCCCACACCGTTTCTGTGAAAAGCCACCAGGCCTATATGAGAGTTTCCAACCTGTCCAAGAATCTGAGAGACATTTTTTGAGTGTCCTGGAGAATGTGACTTGCAGCCCTATGTGGTGAATCATTACTCCTCAGCTCCAGCATGAATAAAAATGGAGTGTAATCCAGAGAATTTTAGGGGGAGGCACAGAGACACTGATTACACTCAGATCTATATGCTAATTTACATTCAGGTTTATCTTCATTAAAATGATAAATTAGGGGGCTGGAGGGATGGCTCAGTGATTAAGAGCACTGTCTGCTTTTCCAGAGGACCCGGGTTGCATTTCCAGCACCTGCATGGCAGTTTCTAACTGTCTGTAACTCCAGTCCCAGGGTATCTGAGGCCCTTGTCTGGCCTCTGCAGGCACTACATACATGATGTGGTGCAGATATACATGCAGGCAAAATAAAACCTCAAAAATTTAATATAGTAGTTGTAAAATTTACCCTTTTATTGTGTATATTTAAGACTGACTATATTTCATACACATTTAATAAAATGATTTTTACAGTTGCCATGAGTGCGCTATGTCAGAAACATAGACATATTTGTGCCTTTACAATGTCAGAATTTAATTAACAATAAATTCACAAATAGCAGTTTCAGTAAAAGCAACTGTGAACTATTCCTGCTTTCTTTAGTAACCTTGGTTGACATGAAGGGTTTTTCTTTCTTTCTTTCTAAGAACTTACTATCAACTCTCGAATTACACACTACATGCCACCCAGTAAATCCACCTGTCTTAGTTAGATTTCTATTGCTGTGATAAAACATCATGAACAAAAGCAACTTGGAGAGGAAAGGGTTTATTTGGCTTACAGATCAGGGCAAGCCAATGAGGGAACTTGAAGCAGAAACAGAAGCCATAACACTAGAGGAATGCTTTCTACTGGCTTGCTCAAGACTTGCCCAGATTGATTGCTTGTTTCCTCCCTTCCTTTCTTTTTAATTTTGTTTTTAGATTTATTTATGTGTGTCTATGAGTGTTTGTTTGTACCCAGCGGGTACGCTTGGTGCCCACGGAGGTCAGAAGGCGGCGTGGAATCCCCCGGAACTGGAGTTACGGACGTTTGTGAGCTACCGGGAGTACTGGGACTCGAAACCCTGTTCTCCGCGAGAACAGGTGCTCTTAATGGCTGAACCACATCATCAGGCCCACCATCCTGCTTTCTTACACCACCCAGGACCACCAGTGTAGGTGACACCGCCCCTAAGGGGCTGGGTCCTCTTCTGTCAATTTGCATTCAATAAAATACCCCATTCACTTGGGTTAGTTTTATAGAGACTTTTTCCCAGCTGGGGTTCTTCTCTTCTGACAACTAAACTAGTTTGTGTATAGTTAACAAAAACAAACAAACAAACAAACTAGAACTCACCCCGCCTCCTCCCCATGCAGGTTACAGAATGACTGCAGAGGCTTAGAGTCACGGAGTTTCAAAGAGGTCTGAGAAGCTAGAGCTGGGAAAGGTAAAGGCGTCTATAGGAATACGATGAAGAGAACCAGCCGGAGGGCTGTGGAGAGTAGCTGCTGGGATTGTTATCTATAGCGTTGAGTCTAGCTGTGTAAGCGGAAGAGCAGAACTGAAGCCAGGTGAAGAAATAGCCAGATGGAAGGATGGCAGGTCCAGAAAGAAAGTGATCCGTTCCTCAGGCAGACAGTGGTACAGAGGTAGTATCAGCACTGGGGAACGAGCCAATCTAAATCCCTGGGACATTTGGTTATTCTCTGTCAGTCTCGGGTAGGAAGATTGCGGAGCAGCGAGACACTCTCCTGGAACAGGTCCAAGGCTCGAAGTGCGGCAGTATTCCCCCCGTCCCCCAGTACTTCCCACGGGCCACCAAGCCCTGGGTACGCCGGAGCCGCCAGCTGCCAGCCTCCTCCGCCGTCTCCCCTCAGTGCCCTTCCGGGTAGCGAGACCTGTGCGCACGCGCAGGGCTACGGCCCGCTGGGAGAGCAGACCGCATGCTATTGGCGGAATGGGGAAGGATTACCCGCGGCGACCAATGGCCAGTGCGAGGCTGCCCGCCGCAGGGCCTCTGGGAAAGTGTTGCCAAAAGCCGGTCGCCAGCGACGCGGTGAGCCGGACGGGAAGAACCGAGTGTTGAAGCCGGAGCGATGTTGCTCTTCTGCCCGGGCTGCGGGAACGGGCTGATTGTGGAGGAGGGGCAGCGCTGCCATCGCTTCGCCTGCAACACCTGCCCGTACGTCCATAACGTCACACGCAAGGTGAGTCCGCGGCGGGGGCCTTCGCCGTCCGCGCGGCACCGAGCCGGCGTCCGCGCGCGCAGGCCTTCCTGCCGGCGGTGTGCTTCTTGGGCTTTCGCGCAGGAGGCGCCCCAGGTTCAGCCGTTGCTGCTCCAGCGGCGTCGAAGCCGTTCTGTTGGTCCCTTCAGTGACTTCCGCCGCTAGCTCCCCGTCGCCCGCTTTGCGACGCTCGAAAAAATTCCGAGAATTTCAGTTCATGACCTCCCCGCTGAGCCATACTCTTAAACCCAAAGAACTCTTGTGCCATCCCCGGCGTGCCAGGCTCCGGTCCGCTTCTCACCTTCTCTGACTTCAAATCCTTGTGTACTTTCTGTAGCTCTTTTGCTCCCAGCCACTGTCGCCATTCTGGAGGATCTTCACCGTGCACGCGGTACTGTTAGGTCCTTCCTTTTGCCCGAGCCATTCTTCCCTGAATAACCACACACAAACACTCATTCATTATCTATCTATCTATCTATCTATCTATCTATCTATCTATCTATCTATCTAGATGTCATCTATGCCTCTCTTGTTTCCCTCTTCCTTTCCCATTATCTCTCTTCCTCTCTTTTTTTAAAAAAAGAATTCCAGCCCTTGTGGCTGTTGGTGCATGCCCATAATTCCAGCACGTGGAGAGGCTGCGGCAGGAGAATAAATTCAAAGCCCACCAGCGCTGCACATACATATAGTAATTAAATAAACGCAGAAACAAACCAAAACCCAGCTCTTCCTGTTTATCCTCATTCCATTGATATTTTCATCGGGATTCGTTGTCTTTTAATATTTTACCATTGTTGCCGCTTTGTATGTGTGGTGCTTGTGTTGGAACCCAGAGAGGTGCATTTCCAGCCCTTGTTTTGTCTGCGCTTCCGTCGGTTCGGTTCTTGTTCCTCCTTGCTCCATTGTCCCGAGTTCCGTGATTGCAGATGTGCGACACCAGGCCTTGTTGACACCTCATTCTAAATGCTCGCACATTAGAGCTGTATGTATGGTAGGAGTTTAGAGTCTGGATTTGTGGTAAGATGAATTGTGACACCGTTTTGAAATTTGAGGTATACTTGATGAACTTAGGAGAGCAACCAAATGTGACATGGGGAATGCTGGGATACCCCGCTAAATGGTGGTGGTTGGCTTTATTTCTCTTTCATGTTGGATTATTAGGTGTCTTAGGGGTATAGGAGAAGAGTAGGTTTTACTCAGCTGTTTTTTCTTCATGTTCTGTCTTGGTGTTTCCTCCAGTCTCCAGAGGTCTCTGACACTGAACCTCTGTGCTGTTTCGGGGACATCCCAGTCACAAAACCCCTACATTTCAGTGGCTCATGCTGCTCTTTGAAGGAGATACATTTTGTATTCATTTGTTCACTTACCCAGTAGAGGGAACGCTGGAGGAGAGTTGTGGTTTGGTGGCTGGTGTGTAAAACTGTATGATTACTCGGGGTCTGATGGCTTGTTTTTGTTAGGTAACGAACCGAAAGTATCCAAAGCTAAAAGAAGTGGATGATGTACTGGGTGGAGCAGCTGCCTGGGAGAATGTGGATTCTACTGCAGGTGGGCATTTTTCTGTAACAGCCAGTGACTCAGTCCTAGCTGTTATTGCTTATAAATTTACTATTTATTATTCTAATGCAGCCCTGTTTATTATTAGGGCCAGTGAGATGGCTCAGCAGGTAAAAGCAGTTGTGGCCAAACCTGTTAACCTGAGTTTGATTCTTGGAGCCCAGATAGTAGAAGGAGCGAGCTGACTCCTGAAAACTTTGTGTTCTGACTCTTCCCCCCCCCACACACAAATAAGTGTAAAAGAACTTAAGAAAATATAAATAATAAAGTAATGACAAATAGCTTGTGTTTGCCAATGCAAGAAATATTTTGGTGATGCATTTTAGTTTAGTCTTTAAGCTCTAAGCAAAGTATTAACATTTTTTGTTATTGTTTAATTTTATTTTTTTGAGACTGAGTTTCTCTTTGTTGCCCTTGGCGTCCTAGAACTGGCTCTGTAGATTATGCTGGCCTCACACTCAGAGATCTACCTATCTGCCTCCCACATGCTGGATTAAAGGTGTGTAACCACCACCTGGCTGTATTAAAAAAAATTTTAAAGCAGATTCTTTCAAGGATTAAATATAATGAAAGGAAAATTACCATGCTGATACCTGCACAGTTGTTTCATGTAGATTCTCAAGGTTAGATATAAACAAGTATAATTAAGAATAAATCTGGTACATATTCTTTTTTTGAAGCAAATTTGGAATTCATTACAAAAGTTTCAGTATTGATTTAAACATGGTTGTTGAGAAGGGGAGAGAGATCCATGCTCTAGTGGATGCAGGCTTCTCAGGAAGAGTTATGTTGTATTTTCAAATACCAGTACTGAAAAAATGATCAGTTTTGGTCTTTTTTTTTTTTAATTCTATATGGATTTAAAAAATTTATAACTGAGCTGGGTGTGGTGGTGCACACTTATAATCCCAGTACTCTGGGAGGCAGAGGCAGGTTGATCTCTGTGAGTTTGAGGCCAGCCTGATCAACAAAGTGAGTCCAGGACATCCAAGGCTACACAGAGAATCCCTGTCTCGGGGGTGGGGGTAGGGATGGGGGCGGGGACCATAACCCGGACGAAGATGATGGTTTTGGTTTATAATTCCATTGCTCTCAGGGTGGAGGCAGAAGGCTCAGTGCTTATCTGGGCTTTATGAGAAGCTGTCTCAATCTTTCAACCAATAAACAGTTTCGGGGCTGAAGAGATGGGTTAGTGGTTAAGAGCACTGGCTACTCTTCCAGAGGACCTGGGTTTCCTTTTCAGCACCCACATGGCACCTCAGACCTTCTTCTGTACTTCGCTAATTTTAGGCAATCCAGTGTCCTCTATGACATCCAAGAACTGTATGACCATGGTGCACAGAGTGCCCGCAGGCAAAACATACATGTGGGACCACTAAAAAGTAAATGTTAAGGGGAACAGGAACTATTCCCCCCCCCCCCCCTCAGGGGAGGAACAGTCTTGCTAGGCCACAGGGGAGGACATGGCAGCCAGTCCTGAAGATACCTGATAAGCTAGGGTCAGATGGAAGGGGAGGAGGACCTCCCTAGCAGTGGCCTTGGAAAGGGGCAGGGAGGAGATGAGAGAGGGAGGGTGGGATTGGGAGGGAATGAGGGAGGGGGCTACGGCTGGGATACAGAGTAAATAACCTGTGATTAATATAAATAAAAAAGAAGTAAATATTTTAAGTCTTGATTTATGTTTGATAGACTTAAATGTGATAATGGAATGATAGAAGACAGCCTTAAATATCACCTGTTTTAGAAGGAAGGTCAGCACAATTAGCAGTCTTTCCCTCTATAGGGGAATATACAGATCTTCTGTGTTAGAAGTTAACATTAGCTAGGTGTTGTAGTATTACTTGAGAGGTGGAGACTGGAAAATCAGGCGTTCAAGGTCATCCTAGCTACATAGTGACTTTGAGGCCATCCTCAAGAACTTGTTTATAATGAGTAGAGGCTTAAAATCTTTGTTTTAATCTGTCTTTGAGATAGAATCTTGCTATGTAGCCCAGGCTGCCCGTGTAGCAAGTCTCTTGCTTCAGTCTCTCAAGTGCTAGATTATAGCTGTGTGTTACAGTCCCACGAAACAGACTATAATAGACCCGTCCCATGCTATGCTTCTAGCCATTCTTCAACCAAATTTGTGAAGGTAAATAGGATCCAGGGAGGGAAGGGTTTAAAAAAAGCTTTAAGCCTTTACTCATTTTCAACTTTCAGGGCTTTTGTTGCTTTTATAAAGCAAGGTCTCTTTGGGCTGGAGAGATGGCTCAGAGGTTAAGAGCACTGCTTATTCTTTCAGAGGTCCTGAGTTCAATTCCCAGCCCCCGCATGGGGGCTCACAACCATCCATGAGATCTGGCGCCCTCTTCTGGTGTATATGTAATAAATAAACAAAATAAATCTTAAAAAAAAAACAAAAACCAGGTCTCGCTAGTCTCCTTATTATTGTTGTACTGTGGGAAGGCTGTTGCTCTTGGCAAATTGAACATTAGCAAGGGAGTCTAGATTAGCATGGGAATGGGATGTTTACCCACACTTGAGTGTTTGTGTAATGTGGACAACTTTTTTTTTCTCTTTGTCAGAGCCATGTCCAAAATGTGAACACCCTCGTGCCTACTTCATGCAGCTTCAGACCCGTTCTGCAGACGAGCCAATGACTACCTTCTATAAGTGCTGCAATGCTCAGTGTGGACATCGATGGAGGGACTAAGGGCAGGACTTGTCCAGCTTCAAGCATGAATTTGGTGTGCTGAAGGTCTCTGCTATTTGATAGGAAGGTGGAGAAACAGGGTGAAGCATAGCACACCTGCAAGTCAGCAGATGAAGTCCTTAATGTGCAGGGTCCCTTGGGACTTGGGAGATACACAGAAGATGCTCACTTGAATTTAAGTCCTGTTTGTTACTTTTTTTTCCCCTCAAGAAAGGGTTTTTCTGTGTAGCCCTGGCTGTCCTGGAACTCACATTGTAGGCCAGGCTGGTCTTGAACTAAGAGATCTACCTGTCTCTGCCTCTAGATTGCTGGAATTAAAGATGTGTGCCACCACCATCAAGGATAGACTTGAACCTTCCAGTCTTCCTGCCTCCTTCTCAAAACTAGGATTATAGGAATGTGAGCCACGTTCATTTTATGTAGTGCTGAGGACTGAGCCCTGAGCCTCATGCATGCTGGATAAGTACTCTATCAACTGAGCTGTATCTTCAGCCCTTATTTTCATTTGTTCTCTGTAGAGAAATTTTTTTTTCTGAGAATTGTTTAAAATACTTATAAAAACGCTGAAAAAAATCACTTTAAAATCCTTGACTGACATGATTCATCTTGTATGATTAATAATTAAACTGTTCTGTGAGTTGGATTTTCTGGATGATTTTGATAGGAGTTTAAAAGTAACCAGAAACATTTTCTATTTCCAGCAAGGGAGAAAGGTCCACAATAGAGCTTGTGCCTAGCATTTGAACCCCATTCAAAAATCTATTCCCACCTCAGTAAATTTAGAAAAGTTGCATATTTGTTGAAACCACTAATGAGATTAATCTGTAAGGTGGATATATTTATATGTGAGAAGTGCTGGTCCCTTCTGTGCAACTGGACAGTTGCACACATGATGAAGAATGTAGATTATAAGAAGATTGATCTAAAATAACAGTATCTTCCCATAAATATAGCATATCTGATGTTTTAAAAATCCTTTAATAGGATTTATTAAATGGATTTATTAATGGATGAATAATTCAAAAACCAAAGTTGACTTGGAAATCTTCAATCTATGGTTGCTCTCAAGCCTTTGGAACTTTGTTGAATAAATCCTTTCAGTAACTCTGTTACAAAGAAGAGGTACACAGACTTCTTGAAATGAGGGTGTATTTGAGTATAAGAGCACTTGCCTAGCATATGACAAGTTCTGGGCTCAGTCCTTGGTACTGGATGGCAGAGGTGCAGGGGAAAGTGAGGATGTTTACTGTAGGTTAGGACATTCTCACATTGCTGATGGAAGTAGAAGTTGGTGCAGTAGTTTCTCAGAGCAATAGGGCAGTCTACCAGTGTTTTAAAATAACGGCCCAAGTATGGCACAGACATGCACTGTTACCACTTGAGAGGCAGAAGCAGGATCATTTGGAGGTCCAGCTTAGCCTGTTAGGTGGCAGAATGAGTTGGAAGGAATGATACAACTCCATGCTTCTGCCTGTCTCAGTGTGAGTTCTTGCAGTGAACTCGGTGAAGCTGGTATTTTGGACTAGGCCACAGAAAAGAATTTCAGGATAATTAGGTATGAAGTAAGTCAAGTGCCTTAACAATAGCCATGTTTATGATTTAGGTGGCCTTTTAAGAGGATTGTTAAGTAGACCTCTACACCCACCCTCTTTTTTTTTTTTTTTTTTTTTTTGTATTTGTTAAATGAGATCATGGGGTTGTGGGGTGGGGCTGGAAAGCTGTGTGACTGGAGGAGCCAGTCTAGAGCAAGAGTGAGGTTGAGACAGGTTCAAACCCTGAAAACCTCATCCTGAGACAGGCAGGAGTAGGACTGCTTCCTCCCTGTTCTGGGTCTGCATGTCCCAATGCATGTAGCTTTGCAACCTGCACTCTGCCATCCTTGAGGTAGTCACATAGCCTGGCGGCCAGGTTACAGGTTAAACTTCCTCTCTCCTTATAAGGACATATCCAGCAAGCACCTGGAGTTCCTCTTTGCAAATGATCGTTCCCAGCACCTCAGCCTCAGCCAATGATGTATGCTCACCTTGAAAACCCCTACCCACTCCCCAAGGTTTATATAGCCCTGTCCCCTACCGCCCATCCCAGTGAAGAGAGCTGTTTCACTGAAAACTTTATGGAGAAGGCTGTTTCTCTTGCACTCATGCTGCCTGAGATCCTGACTAACCCACCAGCCCTGGCTAAGATTCACTCCCTCCAGGCCAGCCCAGGGCACAACAAGCCTGGATACCCCAAGGGGAAAAGCAGTGTTAGTGTTACTTTTAAAATTGTGCATTGCAATTTCTTTTTTATCCCAGTGAACACCCAAATAATTGAGACTGGAGTATTATAATTGTTTAATAAGCTTTACAGCACAAGAACTGAGCAGTATTAAGCTATTGTTAACCCTCCGTGCTAGTCTGGCTTCCTCTTTGCCAAAATCCCTAAGATACTTTAATTTTATGGCTTTCTCTGCTCCAGTTGCCCTTTTCTCATGATGTCTTCTGGACCTCTGGCTGAAATCCCTTCTTTATCTCCTCCTCCTCTGGCTGGCAAGAAGTCCAGCCCTATTCTCTCTTCTACTCAGACTTGGCTGTTAAGCCTCTTTATTGACTTATCAGGGAAGAACTGAGCAGTGTTTACACAACACTGAGACAGGAGATTCTCAGAACAGGGGTTGCAACCAGGTATGGGGGTCACAGAAATCCACATTTGTATCTTTACACAGTACACAGACCATGCCTACACCTCTCCTGTTTTAGTCCAATAAAAGGCTTTTTCTCTTACATTAATACACTATATGCAGTAATAACAACTATGAAAATTATTAGGCAAGATTTACATTTATGGCCAGTTGTGATAGCCCATGCCTCAAATCGCAGCACTCAGGGAGGCAGAGACAGGTGGATCTCTGTGAGTTTGAGGCCAACCTGATCTACAAAGTGAGTCTAGGACAGCCAAGGCTACACAGAGAAACCCTGTATAGGGGAAAAAAAAAAGGTTTACACTTATGTATTTGGCACCCTTGGATAAAGTATTCTACTATCCTAACTTGGTGGCTGTACCTAGATCAATTTCTGTACCTAGTTCTGTACCTAGATCAATTTCTGTTATCCTAAACGATTAATTTTGAAACTGTTAACTATCTAGTCTTCAACCCCATCAGACTTCTTTTTTTTTTTTTTTTTTAAGCAACTTTATTTTTGTTTTATGTGCATTGGTGTTTTGCCTACATATGTCTATGTGAGTGTCAGATTTGCTCAAACTGGAGTTGTGGACAGTTAAGAGCTGCCATATGGGTGCTGGGAATTGAACCATTTCTCCAGACCCTAATTTATTATATTAGGGTGCATGTGCACCTGCATACCAGAAGAGGGCATCAGATCTCATAGATGGTGGTTGCTGGGAATTGAACTCAGGACCTCTGGAAGTGCAGCCAGTGCTCTTAACCTCTGAGCCATCTCTCCAGCCCCACAGTTATTCTGAGATCCCTCTTCTATAGAGGACTGTCATGCGGTGAATGATGAGCTAAAGGTATAGGATTTAATAAATACTGTTCTCTATTATAGAGTCAATATGTATTATACATTATAGTATACCTAGCAAATCAAGGTCAGCTGCAGTTTAAATGAGACTCTGTTTCAAAGAAAACAAAATTGTGTTTGTCAAAAGCCAGCTGACTACATTTTCATTTCCTTTTCATAATTAGACCTAATGTTAAATTTTGATTTATTTCTCTATTGTTCCCTATGGTGTGTTCTCTAATCATGTCCCAAGTTAAAGGTCAACTTGTTTCTTTGACTTGTTCTTCCTCTATAATCTTGAAATTTACACATCGTATATCGTTTCCCTTGCTCTTGGTATGTTCTGAGAGCTGGCTGGTAGTTTACTAAATCACAAACTGCAGAAAATTCCACTTTTCTAATTTTTGGCTATGTGCCTCAGCCTTCAGCTTGAATAAAAAATGGCAACCTCACTTTTAGTTGGGGCCGATCTCTCATCTACTTCATAGGAGATTGCAAGTTTTGCAGCGGTTGTTCCCTGGTTCTTGACACCACAGTATTCACCTTTTTAAAAATTTATTTGTCCATTTGAAATGTGTTATATTATGGGAGTGACTGTGTAGACCAGTGTGGCCTCAAAGTCATAGAGATGGATTTGTCTCCAAAGTGCTGGGGTTAATAAATAACATGTGCTACTATGCTTGGCAATGTTCTTTTTTAAAAAATGGTTATATGGGCACTGACAGCAAACACCTGACTTTAAGAGGTATGTGTTGTTTCATTGTTCCCTTTTATTTATGTTATTTAGTTTTATTCTTTCTTTCCTTGTGTGTGTGTGTGTGTTTACTATGTAGCACAGGCTTTCCTCAAACTCACAATTCTTCCTGTCTCTGTGTTCTGAGTGCTGGAATTGAAATGCACCATGCTCAGCTTGAACAATAAGTTTTATGATGCAACTTCTCTCTCCCTTCCCCTCTCTCCTTCCCCCCCCCCTCTCTCTCTCTCTCTCTCGTGCTCTGTTATACAAAGTTTTATTTGTTATTTGTATGAGTGTTTTGCCTGCATGTGTATCTTTGTACCCTGTTCATGCCTGTTGGCCAGGAAGGCCAGGAGCTGATGTCAGAACCCCAGGAACTTGAGTTACAGATAATAGTGAGCTGCCTTGTGTTCTAGGAATGAAGCCTGGGTGCTCTGGAAGAAACTTGAGTGTTCTTAGCTTCTGAGGTATTTCCCACCTGATAATGTTGATAACATCTTGATAATGTTTTTCTGTCCAAGGCATTCTAGGTCACTTGGTGGTCAAACTTCTGTTGAGGGGGTCCCTGCGGTTACCAGACAGGGAAGCAAACCACACTAGGGATGAGAATGAGAACTGATGCAGATTGACTTACCCACCTGTATCATGAGGGATAAACGCTTGTGTTCTGTGTGGAAACATCACCTGTCAGTAAAAATAGGATGGGCAATAAGCTGAGGCAGGATTTGAAGACAGGACTTTTGGCAGGGAGAGAGGAACTCTGGGATAGAATCAGGCAGGAAAAGGATTCACCACCAGGACAGCCGGATGTATGAAGCAGGGGAGAGGTGACCAGCCACAGAGCTGAACTTAGGTTAGTACAAATGGGATAAGAAGTTATGAGTTAGGTGGAGAATAAGCCAAAGCTTAAGGACTAGGCTTATTAATAAATAATAAGCTTCAGTTGTTTTTCAGGCACAGGGGCACAAGTGGAAAAGCCCACAGCTACAGGATCAGACTTGGGGGGGTCTAATATTAGGCAGTTCATTGCCAGCATATTTAAAACAGTACTATTTGGGAAAAGATTACAGTCAACAATCAGTCCAATCCCAGGTGCACAATAAAGCTAAGGTGTGACTACAAGGAAAGTACCTTACAAAGTACATGTGACCATGAGGGTGGGCTCTATGGCTAAAAGCCCTAGAATTTACTGTGGACTCTGACCAATAGCATAGAGGGCAACCAGCCAGATAGTACATATCACAGCTCCCCTACAGATGGGTAATAGTCTAGGCCAGAAAGAGTCTGGGATAATCATTCTGGAAATTTTGGGTTAGGTCTTCCTCTATGGCAAAACGGTAGGTGAGGTCTGCCTCCACATGTAGCCGAGATCACGTGGTCATTAACAAAATCCACACCCAGCCTTTTGGATTAGATGCAGGTGTTTTATCTCCTTCATTGAGAAGCCCCTGTAAATTTAACATCTCTTGTTTCCCTAGTGATCTGTGGGTGCAAGGACCTTTGTGCACCCAGAATCCTGTTGCTTACTAAAGAGTGAAAATCTCCAAGTGGGAGAATTAGCCTCAGGCAAGGATGAGCTCCCTAATTGATTATACAATGCATTGTGGTCAGTCCTGAAACCATGTACACACAACAGAAATGGACTCAGCAAGTTTTACTCATATGTTTGAGCATACTTATTCATGCCTGCTTAACAAGGAAGAAATTGGGAAGAATTTTGGAAGGGGTGAAGAGAGGACAGGAAGGGGGAAAGTGATATGATTTGTTTAAATTAAAATGTATAAAAATAAAATTTAAATTAAAAAGTGGCTAGGGGGATAGCTTAGTAGTTAAGGACAATGGATGTTGTTACAGAAGACATAGGTTTCATTCCCAAAAACCACATGGAAGCTCACCATTTCCTGTAACTCTAGTCACAGGCCTCTGCCTTCTTCTGGCCTCTGTTGTTATTGTGCATAGATACATGCAGGCAAAACAAACATATATATCCTTTAATATATATTAAAAAATAAAGCTTAAAAATAGGATTCTATTCGGTGATGTCCCAGCCCTGATACAGACAGCAGTCAGGACAACTTAAAATGAACTCTCTGGTCTTGCAGGGAAGCAGCTGTGGCATTGCTCTGAGCCAGCCTGCTCAGAGGCAAAAGCAGCCTTGTTCTGAGGTTAGAATGGCTCAGCAAAGCTGTTCCTCTAAGAACAGTGTTCACAGTGCTGACAGGTGACTCTTCCTTGTTGCTTTCTGAATTTGTGTTCTCTGTCCTTTGTATATGTGAGAATTATGGCATTGGTACATCTACCTGTTAGGTCACACATCATGATTAACAGGTAGCATTGGCTCCTGGGAAATCTACTTTCATGGTGTCATTTACTTGATTTTTTGGCTAAGACCTTGTGGTACAAGATGGACATTCTGGTCATTTTTTTCCATCATTTTCATAATTTACACATGTTTCTGCATGACTTTGAGCTAAGAATGCCCTTAAATATCTCTGCTTTTACACTGTGACCTTGTTAGAAGAGGATTTAATTTAACATGCTTAGGAGTAGGTAGGCCTATATATGAACATGTCCACACTCCCTAAGTAAAATGTCATTGTTTCCTTTGCTGAATAAAATCATTGCTTTGAAAATGATTCCCATGCTCTGTTTGCCTGACACAGGGAAAAAAATCTTTCTCAGCTCTTCTGTCTTGGCCCTTGGGCTGGCTGTTCTTGGTATGGCTTTTCAAACTGACTACATCTGGAATTAAGTAAAATCCAAAGAGTTGGGTGCTGTGGAGTATTTTAATTATAGCTTTTGAAGTGGAGAAACCCTTCTTTAATCTGGATCTTTTGTGGTGCTAAGATCTACCTTCAATCTAGGCCACAGTTTCTGGTGGCAGCCTACATATATAAAGGACATTGAAAATGATAGCACCTTCTCTTCATCTGCTTGCCCTACCTTTGGCTAATAAGTCTTTTTTTTTTTTAACTGGCCTACTTCTTTGGAATTCAGGTATATACTGAAGACCAGCTAAAACATCCAGCCACATGGACTGGACCACTACTGGATTCTACAATGATCCACTGGTAGTCAGCCATTGTTGGACTATTTGTACCACAGCCTGCGAGACACTGTAATCCACTTTCTATATACAGGAGAGATCCGTTCTTTCAGGTCTGAAACTTTACTAATACAGCTGTAGGATTTTTGGTTTGGGTTTTTGTTTGTTTGTTTTGTTTTGACTTTCCCACTGAGGAAGGTGTGTTGATTCACAGTGTTTGTCACCTGTGTCCTGCTTTTCTCCTAGGGTTGTCTCATCCTACCAGGTGAAAAGTAGCAGCAGTTTACCTGACCCAGCATGAAGCAACGTAACAAAAAAACCCTACTTCCTAAAATGTCCCTTTAATTGTTAATATTCTGGGCACCCTTCCACTTCTGGGACAGATTGATAACTCCATTACAAGTTGAATAATGGGCCATGCAAGCTATTCCACCTTAATTCCCGGAGGAAGAAGGGGAAGTGCCTACTGAGCGCAGGCGAGGGAAGCTCTGGCAAACTCAGAAGTCAGAAGGGTTGAGCGCAGAGTCACTGCCCACAGAGGGGAGGAGCAGGGGGCTGAGTAGCTGGAGCTGGGGTAATGGGTGCTCCCCAGGGCTGGGTGGAAAGACAAACGGGTAGGCTATTGGAGGACAGGCACAATCTCTTGCAGATTTTAAAAAGGTCTGGCCCTGGACTGGAAGCCTGGGACAGGAATCACTATGTTACGCCCACTCAGCACACTCTAACCCTAAGGGAGGTGCTCATGTCACTCAAGACTCACTGGCCAATCAGGGCCTCAAGGTAGACTAGCCGGTCAGACGAGGAGGCGGGTTCTTCCGGGTGTCTTGCTGCGGGTTCCGCTCAGTAGCTGAGCAACTTGGAGTGGTTTTGCCTGTTGCGCTCTGAGCGCTGCGGCTGGATGCTGCGAGGGGGAGCTCAGGCAAGCCCCGAAGTCCCGGCATGGTGAGCCCACCACGGGGAAGAGCAGGCGGCTGAGTGGCGGGAGCTGGTGTGGTGGGTTGTCCCAGGGGCTGGGTGGTAAGCACGGCCAGATGCGGCCACCTGTAAGGTCACTCCCTGGACCAGGCGGTGGCCTCTGAATAACTTCACCATGGGGACTGCATCTGCACAAAGCATTAGAAACGTCCTTGGCAAGATTCTAAACTCGGAGAGCCCTAGTTCCTCTAGTATCTTCTTCAAGTTCTGCTCTTAGCACTTAACGTTTAGGTGTAAGATCTATTTGGAGTTAATTTTGTGGAGGTTGATATGCCCAGGTCTTGAGGACCCCAAAGACCAAGGAGCTGATTCCGATGTGAACGCAGTAGGGTCTTTATTACAAGCTTTGAGCGCAGGCCCACACTGTCACCGACGGAGTTCTCGAGTGTAGAGCCCCGAGCTCAGGGGTTACAGCAAGGTTCGGGGAGTTCCAGCTTGGCAGTTCTCTGATTGATTGACATTTAGCAACTCTAAGGTGTCCGGAGGGCCAAACCGTAATTGTTTACTCAACCTATTGTAAAAAACACCTGGGTGAACTCCAGGTATTCACTGATTAGTTGTTGCTAGGGGTGATGGTTAAATGTTAACCAGGTTATTCTTTAGGTGTATTATCTTGTTTCTGAAACTGGTGACCTATGGCCTAGTTCTTTGGTGGGGGCGGCTCAGGCCTGGTCCTCTCAGTGTCTCAAGCGTTGGGTAGCATTCCAATATTAAGCTGTGATGTACAGAGTAGAATTGTTGATGTAAAGGATTTATGAGTGCTTAGGAAATAGTGACACCAAGTAGAATTTAGCTGAGGGAGTCTGCCCCTAAAACAACCCATGGAGAAGTAGTATGCTAGACAGGCCTGTCAGAGATTAGGATGCTGGGACACAAATACTTGCTCACCAGGTTTGTCCTGGACATTTGGCTCCAAACCATAACAAAGGAGACAGCTCGGATTTACAAGCAGCCTCTAGGCCTATCCTCATATCAAAGAACAGGACTCTGACAACATGCTTAAAGGGGCATTACAGGGTCACAGCCAACATTAAGGCCTGGTGTGCCATGAAGGTCCAGCCTTCTTCCTGAGAAAAGCATAGTTCTGCCACATGGGCAAGACCATACCGGCTTACAGCTCTTTGAAACGGAAAAACTCTGTTGTGTTTAGGGCTGGCGTGATCAAGCAAGGCTTTCCATTAGGTCCTCATATATGGAGAAGAAACATAACTCTTTCTCAAACCTAGGAATATGCTTGGTAGAGCCAGTAACGGCCTGGGAAGCTTTCCTGAGGGCCCCAGTGTGTTGAGACTAAAATAGAGCTCCTTCTCTAAAGCCGGGAATATGCTTGGGAGAGCTGGTAATGGTCTGGGTGCAGGGCCTTTGAGAAGACATTGCTTCAGCTCCTCAGGACTCAACTCTTCCTACTAAATGGGATTGTGGTTATCAGTCCCAAGTCCACTGTAGGCTTGGTTAGTAATGTTCTTGAGATACCCTGTGTTCCTCTTGTGTAGCATTGCTTTATTAGACAACTCTTGAGTTTGACCATAAAGCCTGTTTCAATGTTTTAAAATAACTTTTGAGATTATAATTAAATCATTTCAACCTTATCATTTTTCCCTACTGGTAAGTCTCAAACCCTGCATCAAATGGCTGAGGTGCCAAATTAATAAGTCAAAGCAGACCAGGTTCTCCCAGCATCCCTCAGTCCCTGTCTGTTACAAGGTATGCCTGATAGACCCCACCCTCTAGCCCAGGGTTTGAGCTGCCCTTCCTGATGTAATGCAACCATTTTGGTTACCTGATCTTTTTTCCTATCATTTACCCTCTTGGCCTTTTGGTCTGGCTCTCTCCTCTCCCCTTTCTCCTTTCTTACATGGCTCAGGATCATGTCCACTCTGTAATACACAAGATGTCCCTGTGTCTGGCGGTGCTCTCCTTTTATCTACAATAAACTTTCTACTCCACCATATCTAGGTGTAGCTATGCCCTTTCTTTTTTATTTCTTCTTCTTCTTTTTTTTTCATTTACCTCCCATTTATCACTCTTTGCTTGCAAATTCATGGCCACATTTTGCTTTAATTGTTGTTACTGCATAATTTGACCAAAGTTTGGCCGCAGGACTTCCCAGCTATGAGGTAGAGGATGCTGTCCTGGACATTGGCTATGGAATGGAATGCACACAAAGGACCCTGTGCCTTGGAAGAGGAACAGGAAGTGCTCTTGGAGACTGAAAAATTCTACGAAAATACAAATTTCCTAGACTAGGACTCTGCTGTTCCTAGACTAGGACTCTGCTGTCCCTAGGGTGGAAGAGAAGAGCTGGGAAGGCCTCAACTGTCAGAGTCATTTGATCTCTGATCCCTCAGTAGAGGGGCTGAGACTGTCCCGAGAGGCCCAGCTGGGCTGTCTTAAGTTAATGCAGGACGCTGGGCAGGCCTAGCAATCACAAGCAGCGGAGGGAGGAAGATTGCAGGGTTTTTCCAGGATTCTCCCCTGAAGCAGCTGTAGGGAGTTGTGAGGAAGACCACAAGTGATAATGCTCTGCTCCTCAGACCAGGAGGAGCAGGTCTGCGGAGCTATCAGAGTCTGATCTGCTTGGACTGACAGAGCCTGTGGGTGAGACTGTGGCTCTGTTGGTCCTTGTGGTTGTTATGCCCAAGTCGAGTTCATTGCAAAACACATGAGGATCTTTGGTTGTTGGGACTGTCACAGACACAAAGTCACTGGTGAGAGACCCAGTCCAGCCCCAATCCAGCTGAGAGCCTTGAGCTACGGTTTTGGGTGATTTATAGGTCCCCCAGCGCACCCAAAGCAGGGGGATTCCAGCCTGGCAAACTTCTAGTGGTTAAAACAGAAAAGGGGAGGCTACATTTCAGAAATGATTTGCTGTCGGAAGGTGCCAAAATCATAAACGGTTCTGTTCTTCTTTGTTCTCTCTTGTGTAGGGGCAATGGCCCAGCTTGGGTAGTCTGAACTATTTTCAGGAGCAAAGCTACAAGTTGGAACGAGTTGGGGGCCATCCGGGCTGTTTTCCTGGCAAAGATGTCTGTAATGAGCAGCCAGGTCAGCTCTTCCCTGCAGTTGGCAGGATGTGCCTAGAAGGCCTGATACATTTTGAACTTTTTAGCTCAGTAACCCAAGAAACCTAATTTTTAATTCTCTGGCCCTTAGCCTCTTACCCTAACCTGAGTGTGAATTTCCCTGTGGCAAGGAGGGAACTTTGCAGCCCTAGCAATGGAAAGCTGTGATGTTTATATCATTATCAAGTGTGCACACACAGACATGGCTTTTGGTGGGCAGTAGGAAGACATATTTGAAAACTGAAGGTCTGGTTTCTAGAAATTTTAAACTGTTATGCCCAGATCGCGAGACACCTCTCACCCCAAGAGACCACCAGGAACAGGAGTCTGATGCAAACACACAAGGGTCTTTATTCAAGCTTGAGCTTGGGCTGTCAGTCATCCCTGTCGCAGCCAGTCAGAAAGTGGGGCCCCAAGCCTTAGGAGGGCAGAGTTTTTAAAGGGAAAAACCACAAGTGGGGAATTTCAAGCTTTGGCATTATAGGATTAGGTAAGAGGAGGGTGGGTAGATTGACCTCTAAGATGATTGGTTTGGGCCAGTTGGCCAAACCACATGGGGAAAACAGGCTATTGAAAAGGAACGTCTGGGGGCGGGGGGGGTGTGTGGAGAGATGGCTCAGAGGTTAAGAGCACTGTCTGCTCTTCCAAAGGTTCTGAGTTCAAATCCCATCAACCACATGGTGGCTCACAACCATCTATAATGAGATCTGATGCCCTTTTCTGGTGTGCAGTGACACACACACAGGCAGAATATTTAATTAAAAAGAAAGGAACATCTTGACCTGGGCAAGACCCAGAGCTGTGTGTGTACTTTTTGTTTTATTGGTTGGCTCCAGGTGCAGGGCCTAATTATTCTTGCCAAGTTCCTCCTGTAATTTTTTTGCTTGCCAGTTTCCTCCTGTGGGTATTTTTACTTGCCAGGTTCCTGGTGGGGGAACTTGGGTCACCTAACAGACAGGGCCATTCAAAATGGTGCCTGTAAAACAAGATGGTGTTAGTTCTGCTCTTGCTCTCTCAGAACCTTGCATTCCACTTTCAGTTTTGTGTGACAAATTTATAAATAGTTTTGAAGCTGGTAGAAAGGGGGTGATGGGGATCGTTGATCAGAATCTTTTTACCTTTTCACTACCACCAGTCACAATGGCCTGATTCAGGGAAAGTCAATTCTAGGGTAAAGGAGTTTCTGAGATGCAGAGATTTCCTAGGTGTGCATGGTGTTGGGTAGGTGGATAGGGCAGCTTCCACATCTTGTGCCATAATCTATGTGGCAAGAAGCCAACTTTAAATTAATCTTCAACATTGTTTTGTGTGTATGCTTCAGTGGGGCTGGATTTGCCTGAAACCACAAGGGGGCATGAAGGGCTGCAAAGCCATCGCCCACCTTTTTGATCACCTCTCTTTCAAAGAGAGATCAGTACTAGCTAGTGGGTCATTTTAAGGGTCACTCTGAGCTATTTTTGTAGGAGTTGTGAAATTGGTACTTATTTGATTTCTATATATGTACAATCAAAGGTAATGGTCAAGTTCATATTTTTCCTGGTGGTGTTTCCTTAGGTCTTTTGATGAAAACCTAAATATATACTTTTAGGCTTACGTTTTTGCTTTTTCTATCTCCTCATTCTGTCACCAATATTGTACACATTCTTGATTGTTGTAGTTTTGTAGTAAGTACAGAAGTCACACTGTGCCAACATGTGTGCTATTTCTTCATAATCCTATTGAGAATTCTGGGTTCTTTCACATGGCATATAGTTTTGGAATCAGCTTTCCTGCTATAAATTGTTAGGAATTTCCTTTGTATTGTATTGAATTTATGTTGCAATAACCAACATTCTTTTTTTTTTTTTGAAAATACATCATTTTAACATTTACTATAGTATAAAAGGGTGAAAGATTATTCTGCAT